TTTATTTGGCAGTCTCGGCTAATCAGAGTCCAACATCTGGGCAGTTACCATGGTTACAGGACAGCCGGGGTGTGCAAGAGAATGGGAGGTGATCGACAGCCGTATCCCCAGAGAGAGAGAGAGAGAGCGATGGAGAGGGAAAGTGCAACTGATGGACAAAGAGGTTAAAAACACATAAACATACGTTTACCTAGCTATCCAGCTTTGCATAGACTTTTAATGTTTTTATTTCAAGCTAACAAGCTGAAAAGAAAACTTTTTGCATTTTTAGAACTAAAACACAACATTATTTTCAACTCAAGTTCATTGGGGGGAAAAAAACATGGCCATGTGGCGACATTTCTGTAAAATGATATTGTTGCTACTTGCACGTTTCGGGACACTTTCAAAGTGAAATGGCCATTGAGTGGCACTAAAAGTGCATTCAGTTTTATCTGAAACAGATGAACATGAGTCTGGAGATGTTTTATTTACACAGTAGTTCGGAAATGAAATGCTTAGTGAGTGGCGCTGCAAAGTTAATGCTCTATCGCATTTGAAATTAATGTAGCACCTACACTAAACCCTACCCTAAACCTAACCCTAACCAATAGTGTTAACAAAAGCAAAAGTCACTAAAAACACATTTGCTGTAGCAGCCATGCCATATTAGCTTGCTTCTACAAGTCTGAGCTTTTTAATTGTGACTCTATTTCTTCTGATTCATTCTGGAGTGCTCTGCAGTGCTGTACCAGGTGAGCTACAGAGCAAGTTTACTACATAAGAAAAGCCAAACATGGAGCTTCCCTTACGAAAAAGAAGTTTATTCAAGTGTGCTATTAGTATACTTCTTTTAAACTAAAAATAGGAAAGTATACTTTTAGTCTACTTTTTATGTACTTCTCAGAAATATACTTAAAATGACATTTAAGTATACTTGACTTATACTTAGAAAAAGTCTAAATATATTTTAGCTATAATTGTGCTCCTAGAATCCTTGTTTTCATTTATATATTATGTAGGGGGCGCTAGTACACATCTCCTGTACAGAATTTCCAAAAAACACAAGTAAAGAAGAAACCGAAACAACAGATGCTTCCACACGTATTCTAACAATGTGACATTTGCAACATAATAAATGTTGCAAATGTCAACATTTATTAGTTTACATAACATCCAGTATATGGTAAAGATATTTTGCGGTCATAACATGTACAAGGAACCATTTCAAGTGTTTATTAATCAGCAATCTGCCCCTGGAAACAGCTGGAAACTGCAGTGAATTGCACTGTATGTCTAGGTAAGTTTTTGCGGTTTGGCAAAAATGTAGGTAGAGGCACGTTGTTTCCAATGAGCCTACAGTATGTTGTTATTTACTTTATGATTTGATTTTGCAATTGAGGACAACTCCAGAGGGATGTTTTGTCAAATTTGTAAATCCACACACAGGGTGACCTGTAACTTGGGTTACCTCATTCCCCACCCATACAACACACACCCTTGGGAAAGGGTGCGGTAAGTCAGGCACAGTGTTTATGCATGTGTGTTTGTGCTTTTATATGTGTCCACCAGGGAATTGCTGCTCTTTGGTTAGCATGGGTCACGGAAATGTCTTTAAATACATCAAAAGAGTCATCAAAAGAGTGTAAACAGTAGTTTTCATTTGTATTGATGATCATGGATACAGAATGTAGATGTTACGTATTAGCCTATAATACATGCTGGCATGTTTGAGACAGAGGTCTCAACTGTACAGCAGTAACACTTTAATGACCAAAACTGAAATGAGAAATTCAGATTTGTATTGGTTTCTATGCTCCTGTGGCCTAGTGGTTACAGGTCTGATCTGGTGATGGAAAAGGTATAGGTTTGAACCTAGCAATTAGGCATCTGCTAAGTGGTATCTTATACTACAGCTTTACTTATTCTTGTAGAAAAGTGTAGTGTCCAGTTTTACAGTAGTAGTTTTATGCTTTTATTGTTCTGTAACTGATCATGGCTGTCTGTGTGTGTGTGTGTGTGTGTGTTCGTTAATATGAGTTCACATGTGTTTTTGAGACGGATGCAGTTAATTTTAAGTCATCATGCAGTCAGTATGGCTATCATACAGTATATTGGGACATTAAAAAAAATAAAAATATATATATACATTTATTTCACAACAAATACACCATCACTCTCCTGGGCCGTATCCTTAACCTCCATATCTCTTCCTCTGCGCTCACACGCACATATATACAGAGAGAGAAGAGAGAGTTAATAAGGTCCATTACACTTTCCTCCCCCAGGCAACCAAAAACTTCATTTAACCAGGTCTGTTCGGCCAAGACAGGAAGCTCAACCCCCCCCCCTTCATAACTGCATTAAACTGAGCTAACGGATGAGCCCTAGGACAGGAGACTGGGGTCCCACCATTTCACAATGAACTGCTCCAAAGTGAGAGAGGGAGAGAGAGAGAAACAGCGAGGTTGGGAGGCAGAAAATGTCCAACTGTAAAATCTAATCTCTTTTAAAAGCTGAGGACACGATCCAATTTCGGCAATTTCCATGTCTTATGGGGTCTGAGGGCAGGTAGTGTGTAAATGATGTTGTGTAGGTCCAGATTTGTTGCTATCACTGCAGGGTGATGGAGTTACGGCTATCAGAGTCGCATCTCTTTCATGGTGCCTCTCTGTCTGATTTGGGGATGTTATTTATACCAATAAGCACATGAACGGGAGCCTCATTACTGCCATCAATCATGTATCCCACAGGCATCACATTTAGAAAGCGTGTTCAGGTCCCACTGAGAGATGAGTGTAATACTGTATGTTTTTGAAAAAAAAAACAAAAAAAAAACCAAACTTCAGAAGTGTACATTGGATGATTTTTAACTAAGTTCTGGAATGTTCCAGAAAGCACTAGAATATTACAGAATGTTACAAAAACTTCTAGAATGTTCCCATCCTTGCAAAAGCAAAATATCTTTAAAAAAAAGCAAAATTAGTACAAAAACGTATCTTTACTAAACCAGTGTTTCATAAATAATTATAGAAGTTCTAAAACTGTATGTGACCTAAATATTTACCAAAATCTTGATGCCCTGTGAAAATAAGTAGTGCAATAATAATTAGCACCACAGAATTACTGAAGACCCATAAAAAATGTAAGTGAAACAAATATTTGTTACTTTGTGTTATTATTCATCCAGACAAAATTTTGACGCGCAACTCATCCCACACCATTTGTTGCAGACCCATGAATGAGGTGTCAAATCATGCAGCTTATTGAGGAGAGGTGTGATATGACTTTAGTAAGTGATTGGGCATACAATGAACTGGCAACTCTCTAGCCACTCCCTAGCTACCGTTTAGAGCACCCTAGCAACTGTATAACAATATTAACAAGCCATATCTGAGCTCCAGAACATTGTAGAAACATGGGCTATAGGGCTCTTTTGATTCAGAATGGCAAATATTAAATGTCACCATATAAACTGTATACCAACACACTAGCAACCATCTAGAGCACTCTAGCAACTGTACCACAACATAAATAAGCCATATCTCAGTACCAGAACATTGTATAGACATGGTAGTGGGCTGTTTTGTTTCAAGCGAGAGGCCAATCTGTAAGTAATTTGTTATGTTGACCAACAGAATCCTGCTTGGGTTGAAAGTGACTTCTGTGTGAGCTGTGCTTCGCATATCTGAGCACTATTAGCAATGGACCATTTTTGGACCAAATTTCAGCCAAATTTCACTAATGTAAAGAAAATTTTGCCTTAAGAAGTGAGAGAGAGAGAGAAAAAGAGCCAGATTGAATGAAAAAAAAGTGTACGAAATGGGGGAGTCCTAACAATGCCAATGTTTGATGTTACTGCAACTGTAACTCACACCACAATAAAATAAAGCTGTGTTTCATCTCCACTTCCTCTTGTCTTCCTTTTAGCTCTGTCTCTCAATCAATACATCCACAAACAAACGATCGTACGTCCCTCCTCTCATTTGGGTCACCCGCCTTCCGCGAAAAGACCAAAAGGCAACTACTCTTAAACCTCCTGGAACCTATCCTCCGTCTGCAACACATTATCGACGGTGTGAGGCATTGTTCACTTTCTTGTAAGCTGCTTCCTTTGGCTCAACAATGGCACATTCATGTGTTCGGGGCATCATGCACAGCTTACAAATGCCCGGAGAAAGAAAGGAGCACTTTCTTTTCTTTCACAGAGGAAGATGCCATTGTTGAGGCCATTCTTTAAACACCACAAAGCGATCAATAAGCATTCAACAGGTTATGTAAAACCACCCGACTTCCAGCCCACCATATCGTCCGAAAGGAATCCTATCCCATAATGCACTGTGTCTGTTCTCTCTCATTGTTTTTATTTCTGCCGTATACTTATTCTTTTGCTCTTATTTCCAATCTAAAGTCTAAAGTATGTCTGGTATTTTCTGTAACTTCTATTGTAATTTAAATAAATAAAAACTGTTGTTTTAAATACTTCAGTGTTTTTTATACTTACATGGTATGTATACATAACGTTTGTGTAGTTGTATATATTTGCTGTGGGTGTATATGTGTGTGGAATTCTTGTGAGCATCACTGTTATTGGTGTGTTTGAATATATACACTTCTGTAGACACAAAACAGCAGGACCGTTAGTACAAAACCCAAGGGACGGAGAAAAGGGGCGTGTGTTTGTGCTGGGCTACAGGGTCTTTATTGACCACTATATTCAACAAACTTCATGCTGTGCCCGCCCACATTTAATAACCTCAAAACAACAAAGGGAAAAAAATATGTAATAAGTAACAACCAGTGACTGTAACGCCAAGCCAGCAGAGGGAGCCCTCGCCCGAGTACTGACCGTGCTCCACTCCCTCTGCTTCCTCTACTTCCATTTCCTGTTTGACTCTCATATAAACTGAGACCAGTCCATGTGCTGATCGCGAAGTATTGCCAGTTCATCTGCCTTACCAAGCGTTATTGTTCCTCTGTTCCTGATTGATTCCTTGTGTATGATTCTGCCTGACTTCTTGACTCACGGTATTTGTACTCTGCCCCTTTTGTTCTGACGCCTGATTGGACTGATGTTTGTGTTTGGACTCATTGCCTGCCTTTCCACTATTGTCTCTGCTTCTGCCCCTGTGTATGACGAACGATCTGCTTGCTTCTCTGACTTTGACCCTCTGCCTGATTATCGACATCTGTTTAAAGCCTTGACCTTTAATAAACTTCCGCTCATGGATTCTAACCAAACTCCAGCGTCTCTGTTACACTGATTCAGTGATAAAATCAGTGACTTGCCGCCACCGTCTGGCGGATTTAGTTTCATTTTTAGCGTATAATTTCAGTTATTTAAATCATATTTCTGTATTCAAAATTGTATATTTAAAACATTAATCTCCACATTAATTGAATTGCACTCATGCGACCTCTGAGCCTCATTAAACGTCTGAAAATGTACCTACAAGCCACTTTTGTGTTCTTCTGTGCCACCTCTGTAGTACAAAATTATTAAAATTATTAATACTAATTTCATATGCTTGGTAACTTATTTGTCTTATTCTACTTATTATTATATTGCAGGGGTTAAAGCAAAAAAAATCTTTTGACTGAATTTTTCTTCGACCAAACCCCATTCCTCAGCCATACCTGTCACACACCCAGTTTAAGAGCAGTTTTTTCTTCTTGTAATTAGGTGCGCTTGTC